CATCCCACTCGCCGTAGTTCCCTCACCCCAATCCCCAAAATCAGCTTCTGTCGACCCACCCACTGCTTCCCAAGGGGCTGCCACAGCAGCTGCCTCTACCACCTCCTCCTCCCAAAAAACGCCTCCTGCGCCTGCTGTACCCTCCTCTCCTGCTAATCCTTCTTGTCCTGCCGTTTCCTCTTGCCCTGCTATACCCTCTGCCACAACAGCCGCCTCAGGCACGCATGCATCCGCCTCAGTTGCCAATGGTTCCACAGCCGGCCCCGAGTCCGCTGACAGGTCCTGCTCCTCAAACACCCCGTCGCCCTCTCCCATCCCTATCGCCGCCCCTGCTACTGTTGCATCTACTGCTGCTGCTGCAGCTTCTGCCTCAGGCACTGCATCGCCTTCTTCGAGCCCACTCACTGCAGCTGTAGCAGCGTCTGCTCCCGTGACCTCAACTTCTCCACCAGCGTCACCTGCTTCAGCCGCATCTGCTACAGCGGGCTGCTCGCCTGTGGGCACCCACTGGCCCGTGAGAGGATCCCACATCCACCCGGGGTACTGCGTTGCTATCGCCTCATACCCTCCTGCCTCCGCGCCCTCTGCCTCTGCAGCCACCACTGCTGCCATCCCTGCGCCGCCCTCTCCCACTGCCTCCTCTGCACCACCTGCGCCCACCCCCAGCGCCTCCCCATAGCCTCCCTCCGCGGGCCCTGCGTCCGCCCAGAAGGGCTCCACGGAAGCACCCTCCGCCTCTGCTGTGACTCCAGCTGCCGTCTCCTCAGCACCCACACTAGCAGCAACACCAGCAGCAGCAACAGCCGCATCAACTGCTGCTGCATCTGCCACTGCATCCAGCGCCTGCAGCCCGTCTGTCCACCCCTCCACCGCTTCTTCCCCTACGTGCTGCCCTCCCTCTCCCTCTTCTGTCCCCACAACTGCCTCCGAAACCTCATCCACCTCTGGAGCACTGACCTCAGCTTCAGTCGCAGCCTCAACACCAACATCCGCAAATCCGTCTGCCTCCGCCTTGCCATCTGCTTCCTCTCCTGCACTACCTGCCTGCCCCTCCATCGCCTCCCCACCTGCCTCACTCACCACATGCCCCTCCGCCTCAAACCCCACAAACGACCCCTCCACGCCCCCCTCAACCGCCTCTGCTGCCCAGTCTACCGCTGCCCCACTCACCTCACTCTCAGGCCACCCCTCCCCCGCCACCACGGCTGCTGCCCCCCCTGCTTGACCCCCTACTGCCATTCCTTCCGCGCCTACCAGAGCCACATTCTCGCCCATGTCATCAAGAACAGCATAGCCAGCAGCAGCAGAGTCGGCAGCAGCAGAGTCGGCAGCTACAGCTGGCTGCTCGCCTGTGGGCACCCACTGGCCCGTGAGAGGATCCCACATCCACCCAGGGTACTGCGTTGCAATGGCCTCACTTCCCGCTGTCTCCGCACCCTCAGTGAATGCACTCACCACTGCACCCGCTGCTGTTGCCTCACTGCCTGCCCCATCTGCCTCCCATCCCTGTGCCTCCAATGCTTCTACTCCTGCTGACAACACTTGCTCCTCTGGCGCCAGATACTCTGCTGAACTCCCTGCGGGATCCTCAATTCCACTCTCAGCTGAATCCAATACCTGCGTTGCAACTGCCTCACTCTGACTACCGTCGACCTCTGCACCCCCTGCTGCTGCACCGCTCATTGCCTCTGGTGGTGCAACCCCCATGCCCTCCTCTCCCGCTGCTGCATCCACCACCTCTCCCGCTGCTGCTTCCATCCACTCCGACCCCTCGACTACAGGCTCCCTTGCTTCTTGCCCCAGGACCCACTCCTGCTCCCCTGCAGTGGACTCACTTAATGCCGCGACTGCCGCCACTGCGCCTTCAGCTACAGTCTCCGCTCCTACAGCCTCCACCGCTACAGCCTCCACCGCTACAGCCTCCACCGCTACAGCCTCTACTGTTAACGCCGTTCCAGCAGAAGCATCAGCCAAGTCTGGAGAAGCGTCAGCCCCATCTGCAGCAGCACCTGTCGCAGAAGACTCTGGCTGGTCGTCCGGCACCCACTGGCCCAGCAGGCCATCCCAACGCCACCCGGGGTACTGCAGCGCGATGGCCTCCCCCCCTGCTGCCTCACCGCTAGCCCCATCTGCTGCTGCCGGCGCCGCCTCGCCCACCTGCCGCCACTCGCCAGTAACAGCGTCCACCACCCACCCCGGGTACTCCGTCGCGATAACTCCCGACTCAGCGACTGCCGCTGCCTCTACTCCCTGGCCCTCCACCTGCTGCTGCCCCTCCTGTTGCTGCTCGTTCTCCCATGCCGCTTCACCTGCCATCTGCCCCTCCTCCCCCATCCGCACGTCAGCATCCCCCTGCCCCGCGCCTCCCTCGGCGTCAAACGCATCATGCCCACACTCGCCCACACCACCCGCACTTCCCACTTCCATACCCGCTGCGTCAGTCACCGCAGCCCGTTCCTCAGCAACCTCCGCCCCCCCTGTCTCGCCTCCCTCACACACACGCATCTCCTCCCCACTATCCATCCCCGCGCCCACCTGAGTGAGCTCAGAGGAGAGCGGGGGAACGGTGGGTTGGGAGTCAGGGAGGAGAGGCAGAGGAGGAGCAGCATCGAAGGACAGGGGCTGCAGAGCAGGACTGACTGGCAGCTGCTCATCCCCGCCCACTCCAGTAACCCCCTTCTGCACACTGCTCTCTGCCTGCTCCTCGCCCTGTTCACCTGCTGCCATCAGCACTGGCTGAAACTCAGATGTACCGGCAGCAGGGACAGGTGGCGGGGCGTCAGCTGGCTCTCCCTCGACCATCTCAGCCTGGCGTGCCACATCCATCATCCCCTCCGCTCCACCCCACCCACCCGGAACCACCTCGCCTGCCCCTTGCCACGCCTCTGCCTGTGGCTCAGCGACAGGCAACTCACCCACTGCTGCTTCCGCTTCAGGAGTGACTGCATGCTCTAATGGAACTGCCTCCGTCACTGCATGCTCCGTGGCGCCTGCTGCAGTAGCGTCGCCTGCTACTACTGCTGCTGGTCCAGGATCCGCTTGTGCAGCGGCAGAGGCATCAGTTACAGCTGCGACGTCAGCAGCGGCAGGTGGCACACAGCCTTCGATCTGCCTCCACTCGCCTGCTGCGTAGTCCCAGTACCAGCCAGGGTACGCCTCTGCCCACTGCCGCTGCTGCTCCTCCCACTGTTCCGCTGTCAGCTCCCCCTGACCTGCATACTGCCCGTCTCCCTGCCCCCCATACTGGCCCTCCACCTGCCCGCCATACTGTCCCTTGCCCTGGCCTGCATACTGCCCCTCGCCCTGCCCCCCACTCGCGTGCTGCCATCCAGCCTGGCCATCCGCATACGCCTGCCATGCCTGCCCCTCCTGCCCCGCCTCCCCGCCCTCCACCGCCATCTGCTGCTCTCCCGTATACCCCTCTCCCACTGTCTGCTCCCCCACTGTCTGATCACCTGCTCCACTCCACTGCCCTTCTCCCCCCTCCACGCCATCTCCACTTACCATCGCTCCACCGGCCCCCTCATCACCTCCCTCCACGGCTGTATCAAGTGCGGTGGCATCAGAACCAACACCAGGAGCCGTGGCTTCCCCCTGCCCATCCACACCGTCTACCAGGTCAGCCCCAACAGCGTCAGCGCCAGTACCAGCACCAGCATCAGCATCGCCATCAGCATCAGCAGACATGAACCAGGCCGCCGCATCCTCCTCCTCCCGCTCCTCCACCTGCCCGCCCTCCTCCCCACTCTTCCCCCCACCCACGCCAACACCACCCTCCACAACCCTAGCAGGCCCAGACTCCGCGGATCCTGAACCAGCAGCGCCCAGTGCACCCACACCCGGCAACAGCTGCTGCGTGGCCCCTGCAAGGGCAGCAGCGGCGGCGGCAGGTGGGGCAGGGCGGACGGCATCCCGGTCCACAGCAGCAAAGAAGGCGGCAGCGTCCTCCTCGCTGGCAGTGGCCTTGAGCAGGCGGGTGGCAGCAGCCGACACTGCAGACGCCACCGACGCCATCATGGGCGCCCCCAGCCGCACTGCACTGCCGCTCGCCAGCGCTGCCATCACATCCTCTTCTTCCTCCTCGTCCTCGTCCTCCTCCTCCTCGTCCGCCAGTCCTCTCTGCAGCATGGCCAGTACACCCACCTCGCCCGACGCCCCCCCATCTGCGCCGCCCTCGTCCGCGTCCTCCCCCACGCCCCCAAAGTCCATGCTCACTAGGTCCTCCCACCCCAGCTGCTTCCTCCCCCCCGCTCCTCCTTTCTCCCTGCCGCTAGCCCCGCCGTTTGCCCCAACATCTGCCCCGCTCTCGCCACCCTCGTCTCCTTCGCCCATCCAAGAAGCAAAGCCAGCTGCGCTCGCCGCACCCCATGTGGGCTTGGCGCCGTCAGCAGCAGCAGCAGGTGCTGCTGGGGCAGCGGAGGCGGCAGTGGCTGGGTCCGCAGCTGCGCCTCCCAGCATGGAGAGCACGGGCATGGCGAGGCCCTTGAGGGCCAACGCGCCTGCACAGGGGCCAGAGGAAAGGGGCGCGTGAGACACGATATGTTGGTAGGGGGACTGGTGTCAGCTACAATGCAGTGAATGGGCTCACATGCACGCTCATGCGGGCACACTCACATATGCACTCACAAATGCACTCACAAATGCACTCACAAATGCACACACTCACAAATGCACTCACAAATGCACACACTCACATATGCACTCACAAATGCACACTCTCACATATGCACTCACAAATGCACACTCTCACATATGCACTCACAAATGCACACTCTCACATATGCACTCACAAATGCACACTCTCACATATGCACTCACAAATGCACACTCTCACATATGCACTCACAAATGCACACTCTCACATATGCACTCACAAATGCACACTCTCACATATGCACTCACAAATGCACACACTCACATATGCACTCACAAATGCACACTCTCACATTTCTACATGAACACATGCCAAGCGCCACAGGCAACGAGGCCACCCAGCGCACCTTGGTTGATGACCTGCGAGCCCAGCTTAGCGCCGGGGCCCTCGCGCCCTGCGCCAGCCTTGTCAAACAGGCTGCGGATCTTGCTCTCATTGTCCTCCCCCACACCGTCCCCTCCCCGCCCGCTAACAGCTCCACCCACGCCCTCCTCTTTCACATCACCCCCCCCGCCCAGCACCCCCTGCCCATCCTGCCCGCCCTGCACGCCTTCCCTGCGCGCGCCTGCACCATCCCCTGCCTCCTCCCCGGGCTGCGCCGTCAGCAGCACGTCAGACGACCACGCAGACACGTCAGATGCCGCCTTCACCAGCGAACCCAGCAGCGGCCACGCGCCCTCCCTCCGCCCCCCTGCTGTCGCTGGCCGCGCCATGCGCGCGCCCACTCCCCCCACCCCGAACCCGCCCCACGCATCCCCGCCCAGGCCTCCCCACCCGTCCCCGTTTGGTCTCCGCCCCTGCGCGCCCGCCTCTCCGCTCATGGCAGCGGATCCAACGCCCTGGAAGCTGCTGGTGCGCGCATACGCGCGCTCCCCCAGGGGCCTCTCCGCAATGAATCTGCCCGCGATCCCCCAGTCATCACCCTCGTCTATGCTCCCCCACCCGTCCCCCTCTCCCGCCCAGCCCTCGCCGTGCCCACCGCCCCCGCCCTTCTTGCTCTGCCCCTTCCGCTGCTCGCCGTTGGCCTCCTCGCCTGCAGCCATCCGTGCAGCCGCGCCGGCAGCCACGTCAGCATCAGTGCGACCCACCTTGGCGCCACCCTCCGCAGCATATCCCGAGGGGTCTTCCCGCCCGTTGGCCCACGCGCTGCCTGCCAGCCCGCCGCCTTCAGCAGCGGGCCTTGCGCGCTGCTTTCTCACCTCCTGCGCCTGCTCCTCCGCCTGCCTCTCCCTCTCCCTCTCCCTGCGCTCCATCTCCTGCCTCTCGCGCTCCTTCTGCTCGCGCTCCCTGCGCTGCTGCTCCAGACGCTCCTGCCTCTCCTGCTCCCTCCTCTCTCGTTCTCGTCGCAACTGCTCCTGGCGCTCCTTCTTCTTCCTCTCTTCCTCTCGCCGAAGCCACTCTTGCCGTTCCCGCTCCTTCCGTTCCTCTTCCTTCTTTAACTCCTCCTGCCGCTCCCTCTCCTTCCGTTCTTGCTCCTTGCGCCTCTCCTGCTCCTTCTTCTCCTCCTCAATCCGCTTCTGCTCCCGCTGTTCCCACTCTACTCGTTCTCTCTCTGCCTTCAGCTTCTCTTTCCGCTCCCTTTCCTTCCGCCTCTGCTGGTCCTGTTCCTCCTTCTGCCTTCTCTCTAGCTCTTTTCTTACCTTCTCTCGCTCCCTTTCCTCTCTCTTCTCCTTCTCCAATAGTTCCTTCTCCAATAGTTCCTTCTCCAATCGTTCCCTCTCAACCTGTTCCTTCTCCATCCGTTCCTTCTCCATCCGTTCTTGCATTTCCTTCGCTTTCTTCTCCTGCTCCTCTCTCTCCTTCTTTTCACGCTCGATTCTTAACTGTTCCTGTTTCTCCATCTCCCTCCTCCTCTCTTCTTTTTTCAAAAGATCCAACCGCTCCTTTTCCGCTTTCTCCTGCTCCAACCTAAGCTGCTCCAGTCGTTCTTCCTTTTCCTTCTTCTCCTGCTCGGCTTTCAACTGCGCCTCCCTCTCCCTTTCCTTCCTCTCTTGCTCTGCTCTAAGCCGCTCAAGTCGCTCCTTCTCCTTCCTCTCCTGTTCAACCCTAAGCTGCTCCTGTCGCTCCGTCTCCTTCCTCTCCTTCTCCCTCCTCTCCTCCTCCTTCCGCAACTGCTCCAACCGCTCGCGCTCCTGTTGCTCCCGCTTCTTCCGACTCTCCTCCTCCAACTGCCGCTGCCTCTCCCGCTCGCCCGCCTGCTCCATCTGCGCATCCCGCGCTTGTTGCTCCTCCGCCGCCTGCGCCTGCTTCTCACCGCCAGGCCCGCCGCCACTGCTCGCAGCACTCAGCTGCGGCGCGGACAGCCGTCTGGGCACGGCCCCCAGCAGCCTGCCTTTGCCTGCGGGCTTGCCTCCCAGCCGGGGGGACGTTAGCTTGCGCGCGGCGGGCGCGGAGGAGGAGGAGGTGGAGGAGCAGGACGAGGAGGGGGATGACGGTGCGAGGGGAACGGGCGGCGCGGGTGCGGCGGCGGCGAGCGGGGAGTCAAAGAACGGCACTGCCGCGGGGGGGAGGAGAGGCGCGGGGACGGCGGCGGAGGACGAGGCGGGGCGAGTGGGTGCGCGTGAAGCATCCGCGCGCAGATCGTCCGTGTCGTCGAAGCCCAGAAACGCACTCGCTGCCGGCTCTGCGTGATTCGACAGGACGGAAGAATTCGGAATCGCAGCAGGTGTAGCTGAGGGCGCTGCAGCGGGAATGCCATTAGCGGGGATAGAAGCGACGGATGGAGCACCGGTGAGAGTAGACAGGCTGACACTTCTGCCGCCGCTGCTGCTGCTGCTAGCCGCGGTGGCAGGAGAGTTGTTAGCAGCATTAGGGGTTGCAGCGGGAGAGGGAGTGATGGCGGAGCGAGCGACGAGCGGCTTGCCTTTGACGAGCGACGACCGCGACGCCTTGCCGGAGAGCCCGATGATCTTAATCGGCGCGGCCGCGGCACCCGCGGCGGACGACGAAGCACCGTGCGGAGCGGAAGCTGCGGCGCGGGGAGCGGGAGCAAACGCGGGAGGAAGCGCGCCTTGCCCTTGCGACGATGTCGCGGTGGAGGGTTGATGATGTGCTGTTGACGATCTGTTAGTCGAAGCGACGACAGATGTCGTTGGAGTCGCATCTGTCGCATGCGATGTCGCATTGGACGACGACGGTGCGACGGATTGCGAAAGTCCTTTCTTGGAAGCAGCTATTGCTCCTCGCTTCGCAGTTGCGTGCGGAGGGTGCGCGGGGTCCGTCGCTGCAAGCACATGCTGCTTCGCGGATTCCGGCAGCAAAACGTCAAGCGGATCTGCCGGATGCACGTCCCGGATCGACGGATGCCGATGTGAATCCAACGGCTGAGATGCGACGGTGGAATGGGTTCGGGTCGCTTGACTGCCATCAATCGCAGCAGGCAGAGCGTGCGACGCAGCGTGAGATCCGCGAGGTACGGACTGAGGAGATTCGAGCTGCGCGGAAGGAGCAGGAGGGTCTTGATGTGCGAATCCAATGGACGCGTCTGTCGCTCCCGATGCATCTGACCACGTCGCGAGAGGCTTGGCGCTCAGCCTGACTGCGCCAAGACCTCCTCCCCCCGGCTTCTTCTTTCGAGCAATCGGCGGCATGGCTACCCTACTCTCTCCTACGGTCTACCGTAAGAAAATAAGAATTCGAGAAAGACGAAATAGGATGCCATGGAATGGGAGGCGAGAAATATAGCAGGCACATTCGTCTTCCAGATGCTGAGATTCCCTGGATGTTGGTGCAATCTCGAGAATTGGCAGATCTGACATGCCCACCAGCCTTGGGCTTGTCGGAAGGGGTAAGCAGTTCGTCAGAAGGCTGTAGTAAGAATGAGGTCCAACTACACTTGCGCTAAGGCTTACAAGAATGTACTTAACTCCCACCAACTATATTCAACATATTCATTGTTGTGCATACATAACCAACTACGGTACACGGGATACTTTCTTCCAGACCAATACACGGGATGCTTTCTTCTTCGCATGATATTCTAAACTTTACGTACTTAAAACTGCATTCGGTCAATATGGATCCTTATAACTAAGCGTCATGATGAGCTGCATTATATTTTGTCATTTCATCAAGGGGCTTTCCTTCTGGGTCATTCCACAAGACCACAGTATTGACATTCAATCCAACATGAGTACCGTATGTTGAGATACAGATGCTTTAGTGACCTTCCACACGAGTTTCATGTTCATGTAGCACATAAAGTAAATAATGATATTGTGGAAGGGCACCAGCCTGAGCCAGCCTGCCAGCCCTCTCAGCCCGCCAGCCCCATGCAAAGCGGTAGCAACAAACCGTGAACGGTGGGATGGAACTGTGGGATGTGACTGTGGGATGTGACTGTGGGATGGGACTGTGGGATGGGATTGTGGGATGGGACTGTGGGATGGGACTGTGGGATGGGACTGTGGGATGGGTCTGTGGTATGGGACTATGGGGTAGGACTGTGGGATGGGACTGTGGGGTGTGAGGGCGAGGCGCCGCTGCTCTGGGGGGTTGTGAGGGCGAGGCGCCGCTGCAAGCAACAGCGTCCCTTGCAGCTCCCCACCATCAGATGAGCATGGCGTGCCATTGCTTGACTGATGTGTAGTGCACACGGCCACAAATAGATTGCCCCACTATGTAGGTCGCCACACACTGATGGTGGTGCTGCTTAGTGTGTTTCCCTACAAGCAAAAAGGAGGAGACAATCCTAAAGTGACGGCGAGTTGTTGGGTGGGGCTTTGAAAGGGCGTGGAGAAAGAAAAGAATCCAGAACGCAAAGACAGAAGGACAAGGGACGAGGCAAAATGGACGAAGACACAAGGGAAAGGCAACCGCAACAACATGAAAACGACAAGCAAATTAGAGAAACTTACAGGAGGTAAGGAGGGAGCACCCTGATCCTCCAGTTCCCATTGCCCCCCACTCCCTCTCCGCGCATGAGCGCATGCGGTGGTGAGCAGCGGTCAGCAGGGCACGCAGTGAGTGACGGCCATTAGTCAATCCCACTGCCGCCCGTCCATGCGCCTCCTCCCTCTGCTGCCTCCCCTTGGAACAGCAAAGCCCGTGCAGCAATGGAGCCACCACGCCCTCGGTACCGCACGAGACCACACACAATGAGTCCACCACGAAAAGCAATCAGGTCGTGCAGCGGACAGAGCAGCCAGCAGCAATAGACAGAAGCAGAGGAGAGAGCGGGCGAAGTGAAATGGAGGACTGGAGGGGGGTGATGGGGGGTGTGATGGGGGTGAAGAGGGTGAAGGGGGTGATGAGGGTGATGGGGGTGATGGGGGTGATGTGGGTGATGGGGGTAATGGGGGTGATGGGGGTGATGGGGGTTTTTCGCAAGATCCTGCTCGCCATACCCCCACGCGCCATTCAGGATAGGTGTCAGCTCCAAACACGCACAAACTGTCAGAAACCTAGCTAGAACTTAGTAGCCATAGCTAGGGTTTAGGGTACACGAAAGAGAAATGGAAGAAGGAAGGTTTGAACTAGAAAGGAGAGGGATACAAATAGCAAGCCCAAAGGGTTATACTCACTATTGAGTACCCCACTACAGACTAGACAAGCATAATATTCTGACACAAACGGGCGTCCCACCCCCTTTGGAGCGGGCCCGCCCCGGGCGTTTTAAGCCATTTTTTCTCGGAAACGCGAAGCAATCCGCACGGGTGTATAAAAGCGCGAATCACACGGGATTTTGTCACAGAATCCTGCTCGCCATACCCCCACGCGACATTCAGGATGGCTGTCAGCTCCAAATGCGCACAAACGTGCGTCCCATCCCCTTTGGGGCGGGCACGCCCCTGGCGTTTTGAGCCATTTTAACGCTCCGAACGAGCGCTTCCACCCCCAAAACGCGGAAGGATCCGCACATGCGCAGGAAGTGCAGCGGGCGCTCTTCATTCGCGAGCGCCGATGACCGATGATGCTCTCAACCCTCCCACGGCCTTGCTGGCTTGGTAATAGGCCCAGACAAGCGCAGCCACGTGACCCGGCGGAAGAAAGACGCTCGGAACGAGCGCTTCCACCCCCAAAACGCGGAAGGATCCGCACATGCGCAGGAAGTGCAGCGGGCGCTCTTCATTCCCCAGCGCCGATGACCGATGATGCTCGCAACCCTCCCACGCCCTTGCTGGCTTGGTAATAGGCCCAGACAAGCGCAGCCACGTGACCCGGCGGAAGAAAGACGCTCGGAACGAGCGCTTCCACCCCCAAAACGCGGAAGGATCCGCACATGCGCAGGAAGTGCAGCGGGCGCTCTTCATTCGCGAGCGCCGATGACCGATGATGCTCTCAACCCTCCCACGGCCTTGCTGGCTTGGTAATAGGCCCAGACAAGCGCAGCCACGTGACCCGGCGGAAGAAAGACGCTCGGAACGAGCGCTTCCAGCCCCAAAACGCGGAAGGATCCGCACATGCGCAGGAAGTGCAGCGGGCGCTCTTCATTCGCGAGCGCCGATGACCGATGATGCTCTCAACCCTCCCACGGCCTTGCTGGCTTGGTAATAGGCCCAGACAAGCGCAGCCACGTGACCCGGCGGAAGAAAGACGCTCGGAACGAGCGCTTCCACCCCCAAAACGCGGAAGGATCCGCACATGCGCAGGAAGTGCAGCGGGCGCTCTTCATTCGCGAGCGCCGATGACCGATGATGCTCGCAACCCTCCCACGCCCTTGCTGGCTTGGTAATAGGCCCAGACAAGCGCAGCCACGTGACCCGGCGGAAGAAAGACGCTCGGAACGAGCGCTTCCACCCCCAAAACGCGGAAGGATCCGCACATGCGCAGGAAGTGCAGCGGGCGCTCTTCATTCGCGAGCGCCGATGACCGATGATGCTCGCAACCCTCCCACGCCCTTGCTGGCTTGGTAATAGGCCCAGACAAGCGCAGCCACGTGACCCGGCGGAAGAAAGACGCTCGGAACGAGCGCTTCCACCCCCAAAACGCGGAAGGATCCGCACATGCGCAGGAAGTGCAGCGGGCGCTCTTCATTCCCCAGCGCCGATGACCGATCATGCTCGCAACCCTCCCACGCCCTTGCTGGCTTGGTAATAGGCCCAGACAAGCGCAGCCACGTGACCCGGCGGAAGAAAGACGCTCGGAACGAGCGCTTCCACCCCCAAAACGCGGAAGGATCCGCACATGCGCAGGAAGTGCAGCGGGCGCTCTTCATTCCCCAGCGCCGATGACCGATGATGCTCGCAACCCTCCCACGCCCTTGCTGGCTTGGTAATAGGCCCAGACAAGCGCAGCCACGTGACCCGGCGGAAGAAAGACGCTCGGAACGAGCGCTTCCACCCCCAAAACGCGGAAGGATCCGCACATGCGCAGGAAGTGCAGCGGGCGCTCTTCATTCCCCAGCGCCGATGACCGATGATGCTCGCAACCCTCCCACGCCCTTGCTGGCTTGGTAATAGGCCCAGACAAGCGCAGCCACGTGACCCGGCGGAAGAAAGACGCTCGGAACGAGCGCTTCCACCCCCAAAACGCGGAAGGATCCGCACATGCGCAGGAAGTGCAGCGGGCGCTCTTCATTCCCCAGCGCCGATGACCGATGATGCTCGCAACCCTCCCACGCCCTTGCTGGCTTGGTAATAGGCCCAGACAAGCGCAGCCACGTGACCCGGCGGAAGAAAGACGCTCGGAACGAGCGCTTCCACCCCCAAAACGCGGAAGGATCCGCACATGCGCAGGAAGTGCAGCGGGCGCTCTTCATTCCCCAGCGCCGATGACCGATGATGCTCGCAACCCTCCCACGCCCTTGCTGGCTTGGTAATAGGCCCAGACAAGCGCAGCCACGTGACCCGGCGGAAGAAAGACGCTCGGAACGAGCGCTTCCACCCCCAAAACGCGGAAGGATCCGCACATGCGCAGGAAGTGCAGCGGGCGCTCTTCATTCCCCAGCGCCGATGACCGATGATGCTCGCAACCCTCCCACGCCCTTGCTGGCTTGGTAATAGGCCCAGACAAGCGCAGCCACGTGACCCGGCGGAAGAAAGACGCTCGGAACGAGCGCTTCCACCCCCAAAACGCGGAAGGATCCGCACATGCGCAGGAAGTGCAGCGGGCGCTCTTCATTCCCCAGCGCCGATGACCGATGATGCTCGCAACCCTCCCACGCCCTTGCTGGCTTGGTAATAGGCCCAGACAAGCGCAGCCACGTGACCCGGCGGAAGAAAGACGCTCGGAACGAGCGCTTCCACCCCCAAAACGCGGAAGGATCCGCACATGCGCAGGAAGTGCAGCGGGCGCTCTTCATTCCCCAGCGCCGATGACCGATGATGCTCGCAACCCTCCCACGCCCTTGCTGGCTTGGTAATAGGCCCAGACAAGCGCAGCCACGTGACCCGGCGGAAGAAAGACGCTCGGAACGAGCGCTTCCACCCCCAAAACGCGGAAGGATCCGCACATGCGCAGGAAGTGCAGCGGGCGCTCTTCATTCCCCAGCGCCGATGACCGATGATGCTCGCAACCCTCCCACGCCCTTGCTGGCTTGGTAATAGGCCCAGACAAGCGCAGCCACGTGACCCGGCGGAAGAAAGACGCTCGGAACGAGCGCTTCCACCCCCAAAACGCGGAAGGATCCGCACATGCGCAGGAAGTGCAGCGGGCCGAGCGCTTCCAGCCCCAAAACGCGGAAGGATCCGCACATGCGCAGGAAGTGCAGCGGGCGCTCTTCATTCGCGAGCGCCGATGACCGTTGATGCTCGCAACCCTCCCACGCCCTTGCTGGCTTGGTAATAGGCCCAGACAAGCGCAGCCACGTGACCCGGCGGAAGAAAAACGCTCGGAACGAGCGCTTCCACCCCCAAAACGCGGAAGGATCCGCACATGCGCAGGAAGTGCAGCGGCGCTCTTCAGTCCCCAGCGCCGATGACCGATGATGCTCGCAACCCTCCCACGCCCTTGCTGGCTTGGTAATAGGCCCAGACAAGCGCAGCCACGTGACCCGGCGGAAGAAAAACGCTCGGAACGAGCGCTTCCACCCCCAAAACGCGGAAGGATCCACACATGCGCAGGAAGTGCAGCGGGCGCTCTTCATTCGCGAGCGCCGATGACCGATGATGCTCGCAACCCTCCCACGCCCTTGCTGGCTTGGTAATAGGGCCGATGATGCCTGGTCAGTGGGCCACACTGTGCTTTGCTGTGCATGCCTGGTTAGTGGGCCACACTGTGCTGTGCTGTGCATGCCTGGTCTGTGGGCCACACTGTGCTGTGCTGTGCATGCCTGGTCTGTGGGCCACACTGTGCTGTGCAGTGCATGCCTGGTCAGTGGGCCACACTGTGCTGTGCTGTGCATGCCTGGTCAGTGGGCCACACTGTGCTGTGCTGTGCATGCCTGGTCAGTGGGCCACATTGTGCTGTGATGTGCATGCCTGGTCAGTGGGCCACACTGTGCTGTGTTGTGCATGCCTGGTCAGTGGGCCACACTGTGCTGTGCTGTGCATGCCTGGTCAGTAGGCCACACTGTGCTGTGCTGTGCATGCCTGGTCAGTGGGCCACACTGTGCTGTGCTGTGCATGCCTGGTCAGTGGGCCACACTGTGCTGTGCTGTGCATGCTTGGTCAGTTGCAGCTCATGCAATGGAATCGCGGGTCCGCCATGGTGGGGGTGGTCTCCATCCTAGGCCTCTCCATGGCTGCTGACATGCAGACCACAACGTTCATCCCGCATGGGGTGCACGTAGGCTGAGAAATGCTAGCATGGTCTTTATGCAAGGCCCTCTTTGCTGGTCAGTAGGTCTAGAGCAGCAGGAAGTTCTCGAATCTACCCAATTAGTATATGATGGGTGTTTTGCCCTGGTATGAACAGTCACCACAAGATTGATCGTACGGTATGGGTTTCGTTCAACCTCCATCACTCTATTTCCATTCAGGTGGACTGGGAGGCTTTACTCGTGTCTCGCTTTGAAGCCTTCAATGCCTCCATTGCCCCATGGCTGTTAGCCTCTTCTCAAATCTCACCCTGGGGTCTTGCCCCTATTGAGGATGTCTTATCCACAACGCACCATGTCATTGCAGCGTCAAGCCCAAATTGCACAAGTTTTAAAAGGATGACGCGAGGGGTTTTTTATGGTTTGGGTTTTGGCGAGTGATTCCGATTTCGGGCATTTCGTTTTTTTCGCCAAACCCAGCCAGCCCACGTATTTCGCCCTGGGGGTTGTGTCAGCACCCGAAAGTCCCAAATTGCAGGTGCGCTACTTTTCAAAGCTTGCACACTGCACTTCGTCAAGTTTTAAAAGCATGACCCACGCGCCTCGCAATTTGGGACTCGGGCTTTAAGCATAAAATGTGACCATATGCTGGTTGCCTTATTTCACAACCTTGTCTATAACTGATGCTGCGACATTAGGGAAGTGCTATAATAAGAAGCACACAAACTTACTTTCAGCCACTTTGGGCCATAACATCTTTGTTGAAGGTTTAGTCCCCGATTTAGCCGTATGCTTGCTTTGAATTAACATATGAACAGCAACATATTTTATATCGATACACATATACAGTATGTCGTTCTTTGCTCGAGGGGGCATGGTGCCGGAAAACGGCTTTTCCCTCCAGACGGTTGACGTGACGGTCAACTCAAATTCGAAACTGTGGTCTGACACTTGCACAAGATCCGAGCCACCAGTGTTGCTGTCTGTCAGCAAACCTCACCTCACCATCACCACCCCATCCAACGCCGTAGATGTCAGGACCAGCCCCCCCGCGAAACCACGGTAACATAACTTGCACAGCGGTATATGGTAACATTCGAAATCTGGCGAAAATCTAGTCCGCTCGCCAGCTCTTCGGACAGTCTTCGCGACTCCCCGCCGTTCAGCGCACCTCCTCCGGCGACCCTCCCTAGGCTTCCCGCCTCGTCAGCGCAAAATTTCCGCAACCAGAGGCTGGAGCAGCAGCGGCGTCTCCCGCCTTGGGGTGTCTAGGGGACTTTCTCCGCTTGCATGGCGACTCGGCTCCTCACTTCCCTTCCCTGATGTCCTTTCCTTCGGCTCTCTCTCCACCCCCCTCCTCCCCTCACCTCCGCTGACCAGGGCATCACATTCAGTTGGGCTTGATCGACCAAACCTCTTTCGCGTGGTACCACGTAGGAACGTGAGTAAACGAACTCAACCGAATTACCGAACTTGGATCAGGCTCACCATGGACTAGAACACCTCCGCTAGGGCTTTCCTTCCGCCCTGTGTGTGAATCTGCTGCACGGCGACTCACCTCACTTCCGCTAGCCTCGCATTCCCTTCCATTCCACAATCTCTCTCGCTTAGTCGTCCTCCGCGAGTTCTTTCAGGCGCTTGCTTGCTAACTCGGTCCGTCCGTTCATGGCCGCTTCTTCAGTAATGACACGTGCGTCAAAAATAGCTTTCACTTGAGACTAGGCTTCAAATCAGAACGCTCCACACTAAACGACCGCCAGATCGTTTTCTGGATGACCGGCTGCTAGAATCATGGTTCACCGACGATTAACTCGTTACTTTCATAATAGAAGCTTAGGAGTCATCGAACGAGACCCGTCAACTCCTTTTTTTATGAAGTCTTATTATTAGACATCAGGCTCTCGCCGCGCATCAGCTGTTTCGTGAGATATTCTTTCGTGTCACGCTAGCAGCCTGAAGCTTCCTTCCACGATGACGTTTTTCGTGGTCATGCTTCGTCCTACGACGCCGTTCGCGTGGTTAGGGTTCGTCATAGGACGATACTAGGAGTTTCATTTGGCTTCCATTATTCGGAGTGGGAATTTCGCAGAGCCTGCAGCAGGCACCAGTCGATATCGCAGCATGCATCGTACGACGTCGTCGCGATGCCGTCCGTCCGACGCCGATGCTGACGTTCGACACCGCTTCCAACAACTGCTAACGTCCAACGCCTACACTGACGACCGACGTAGACACTTGCGACGTTAACGAAGATGACCGCGAAGACGCCTGACGCATTCAAAATGATGTTACTACGTGAGGATTTTCGTGAGGAGGTGGCGGTAGAGATCACGAATGCATGGATGCATGAAGAGATCTCGACGGCGAGAGAGCTCTCGACACTATTACGGACGTTCTTCGTGACGGCGAGCTCGTTAATCATCTTGCGAAATGATTGACGGAGAAGCTTTTTTGAGTCTGATTATTCGTCGATCTCGAAGAGCTCGCGAGGCCGTGGATGGTAGTACGACGGCGGATCCGCGCGTCCACTGGACGCGGAGTAGAAAACGCGTCGGCGGGGTAGCAAGCGAAGGAGCTTCGTCGTGGTGCAACGACCGTGAGACGACCGTGCGACGACCGTGCGACGACCGTGAGACGACCGTGCGACGACCGTGCGACGACCGTGCGACGACCGTGAGACGACCGTGCGACGACCGTGCGACGTCCCTGGATCTTGTGAATTCGGCAGATGCGATTACGTCGACGTTATCGAAGCGGCCGTTTTCATGGACGCGAATTCGTCGACGTTCGCGCAGCTGCTACGGAGGAGCTCGCCGGTGAGTTTTCGCGCAGCTACTATACGGAGGAGGTCTAAGGCAACGCGCTATCTGTTGGGTAAACGTTTCGTGGCTATTTTTGGCGTTCGCGTTTCGTTTGCGTTCGATCTGGCGTATATATCATGGCGTCTGTATCTCACTCACTCGTTGCGGTTTGAACTGTCTCCGTCCGTGCAGGAGCGGGAGCTAGTTTCCTGGTCTGCGTTGGAGCTACTCTCTCGCCAAGAGCTGGAGCGGTGCTGCTGCGTGCGTGCAGCCGCGGGAGAAGAGCGTGCAAGAGGTGATGCTGACTGCTGCGTTGGTGCGCGCGAGAGGAGATGGCTGACAGGCGTTGGTGATGGCGCGGTGCTGCTGCGTCCATGGAAGCATGGCGTTGACTGGCGTTGCTGCTGTGTTGGAGGCGGTGCTGCTGTGTTGGAGGCGGTGCTGCTGTGTTGGAGGTGGTGCTGCTGTGTAGCAGGCGGTGATGCTGTGTAGGAGGCGGTGCTGCTGTGTTGGAGTGGTGCTGCTGTGTTGGAGGCGGTGCTGCTGTGTTGGAGGCGGTGCTGCTGTGTTGGAGGCGGTGCTGCTGTGTTGGAGGTGGTGCTGCTGTGTTGGAGGCGGTGCTGCTGTGTTGGAGGTGGTGCTGCTGTGTAGCAGGCGGTGATGCTGTGTAGGAGGCGGTGCTGCTGTGTTGGAGTGGTGCTGCTGTGTTGGAGGCGGTGCTGCTGTGTTGGAGGCGGTGCTGCTGTGTTGGAGGCGGTGATGCTGTGTTGGAGGTGGTGCTGCTGTGTTGGAGGCGGTGCTGCTGTGTTGGAGGCGGTGCTGCTGTGTTGGAGTGGTGCTGCTGTGTTGGAGTGGTGCTGCTGTGTTGGAGGCGGTGCTGCTGTGTTGGAGCGGTACTGCTGTGTTGGGGAAGCGGCGAGTTGAAAAGCAGCAACTGGAGATACGGCGACTTGAGAAGCAAGTAAGTAACTGGAGCTCTTCCTTTCTTCTCCTCGCCCTCCCATCTTCCTCCTCATTCGCGTTTACCACTCCAGTGTTTTCAAGGCATTCGTTTTCTTTGTCGCTTTTCCGCTGTCTTTTCCTCCTTGCATTCGTTTACTGATAAACCTTCCCTGTGCGATTGCGGCTCTCTGGTCACTGTGCAGGGCGTTAATCTATGGCAGTCCATGGCGCTATGGCAGTCCATGGCGCTATGGCAGTCCATGGCGCTGTGGCAGTCCATGGCGCTATGGCAGTCCATGGCGCTATGGCAGTCCATGGCGCTATGGCAGTCCATGGCGCTATGGCAGTCCATGGCGCTATGGCAGTCCATGGTGCTATGGCAGTCAAAGAGCAAGGAGGCAAGGAGAGCGCACGCAACTTGAGCGCGCCTGCAGGGGAGCGCAAGGGTAGCGCACACAAGAGGAGCCCGCCTGCATGCTCCTTCGACCCTCTTCCATCCGGCTAAGCTATCTCACTCAGTTCGCACCTCTCACTCGCTCGCACTCGTGCCTTGCACTGCTTGCTTGCACTCACACACTCACTTGCGTACGCCGTTCTGTCACTTGCGTACGCCGTGCTAATCGCCTTCCCTCTCACCTCCCTTGACTGCTCCGTCCACTTGTTTCCCTCTTCTCCTCTCCTCCCGCCAGCATCCCTCTTCCTGCCATCCCTCTGCCAGCACACCCACAGGCCGGCAGCAGCAGCGAGCATGGAGGAGCAGTGCAAGCAGCGTGGCGAGTGAAGAGGCGAGTGGTGGGATGACGCACGGCCTGGGCTGGCCCTGCTGACCAGCAACGAGGCTAGGAGAAGGAGAGAGGTCTGCAATGACACTACAGCTGACAGCAGCAGTGCTTGGCAGCAGAAGAGAATACCAGCAGTGACACCAGCGGTGGCAGCAGCGGTGGGAGAAGGAGAGAGGCCCGCAATGACACTACAGCTGACAGCAGCAGTGGCTGGCAGCAGAAGAGAAGACCAGCAGTGACACCAGCGGTGGAAGCAGCGGTGGGAGAAGGAGAGAGGCCCGCAATGACACTACAGCAGACAGCAGCAGTGGCTGGCAGCAGAAGAGAAGACCAGCAGTGACACCAGCGGTGGCAGCAGCGGTGGGAGAAGGAGAGAGGTCCGCAATGACACTACAGCTGACAGCAGCAGTGGCTGGCAGCAGAAGAGAAGACCAGCAGTGACACCAGCGGTGGCAGCAGCGGTTGGAGAAGGAGAGAGGCCCGCAATGACACTACAGCTGACAGCAGCAGTGGCTGGCAGCAGAAGAGAAGACCAGCAGTGACACCAGCGGTGGCAGCAGCAGTGGGAGAAGGAGAGAGGCCCGCAATGACACTACAGCTGGCAGCAGCAGTGGCTGGCAGCAGAAGAGAAGACCAGCAGTGACACCAGCGGTGGCAGCAGCGGTTGGAGAAGGAGAGAGGCCCGCAATGACACTACAGTTGACAGCAGCAGTGGCTGGCAGCAGAAGAGAAGACCAGCAGTGACACCAGCGGTGGCAGCAGCAGTGGGAGCAGCGGTGGCAGCAGTAGGGAAGGCTAGCAGTGGGAGCAGATGCTAGCAGGGAGGCTAGCAGTGGGAGCAGATGCTAGCAGCGAAGGCTAGCAGTGGGTGCAGACGAGAAGAGAAGACCAGCAGCGGGAGCAGATGCTAGCAGCGAAGGCTAGCAGTGGAAGCAGATGCTAGCAGGGAAGCTCAAAACTCAAAACTCTGCACATGGTGAGTTTTGAGTGACGTCTCAAAACTCACGCCCCCTCCTTCCTCACTTCAGATTTGCTCACTCCTTCCTCCATGCATGCAAAACTTAGGTTTTGAGAGCAAAACGTCTCAAAACTCCCACTTGTTGTGGTTGTTGTTATTGTTATTGTTTTCTCCTGTTGAGCAGCAGAAGGAGGAGCAGCACCTTCCAGTGAGGCGCTTTGACCCCCTGGGGGGCAAAGGATCAACACGAGAGGAGCAGCAAGAGGAGGAGCAGCACCTTCCAGTGAGGCGCTTTGACCCCCTGGGGGGCAAAGGATCAACACAAGGAGGAGCAGCAAGAGGAGGAGCAGCACCTTCCAGTGAGGCGCTTTGACCCCCTGGGGGGCAAAGGATCAACACTAGGAGGAGCAGCAAGAGGAGGAGCAGCACCTTCCAGTGAGGCGCTTTGACCCCCTGGGGGGCAAAGGATCAACACAAGGAGGAGCAGCAAGAGGAGGAGCAGCACCTTCCAGTGAGGCGCTTTGACCCCCTGGGGGGCAAAGGATCAACACAAGAGGAGCAGCAAGAGGAGGAGCAGCACCTTCCAGTGAGGCGCTTTGACCCCCTGGGGGGCAAAGGATCAACACAAGGAGGAGCAGCAAGAGGAGGAGCAGCACCTTCAAGTGAGGCGCGTTGACCCCCTGGGGGGCAAAGGATCAACACAAGGAGGAGCAGCAAGAGGTGGAGCGGCGCCTTCAAGTGAGGCGCTTTGACCCCCTGGGGGGCAAAGGATCAACACAAGAGGAGCAGCAAGAGGTGGAGCGGCGCCTTCAAGTGAGGCGCCTTCAAAATGTAATTTCTGTGCTGCCCCTCTTCTAGGTACAGCAAGCATTAAGGGGCAACGCCAAGGCGGGAGCAACACGAGGACGCAGCAGCAAAGGATTAAATTTGTGCCGCCCCTCTTCTAGGTACAGCAAGCATCGAGGGGCAACACCAAGGCGGGAGCAACACGGGGACGCAGCAGCAAAGGATTAAATTTGTGCCGCCCCTCTTCTAGGTACAGCAAGCATCAAGGGGCAACACCAAGGCGGGAGCAACACGGGGACGCAGCAGCTAGGACCCGTTGTAAGCTGCAGTCTTGTTTGCTTTCTTGTGTCGTCTCATGCCTAATGTTGTGATGTGTGTGTCTTCTTGTCTAAGCCGTCACGAAGACATCAAGACGCCTCCACCCCCCTCGGTAAGTGCTCTCCAAGTTTCTGCTTTCTGTTTTCCACATGCACTAATGTCGTTGTTACTTCCCGTTTCAGACAGCCGCGAGACTTCACGACGCCTCCAGCCCCCTCGGTAAGTGCTCTCCAAGTTTCTGCTTTCTGTTTTCCACATGCACTAATGGCGTTGTTGCTTCCCGTTTCAGACAGCCGCGAGACTTCACGACGCCTCCAGCCCCCTCGGTAAGTGCTCTCCAAGTTTCTGCTTTCTGTTTTCCACATGTACTAATGTCGTTGTTGCTTCCCGTTTCAGACAGCCGCGAGACTTCAAGACCGGAGCAGAGGAGGCGCAGAGGAGAGGAGGCGCGGAGGAGAGGAGGCGCGGAGGAGAGGAGGCGCGGAGGAGAGGAGACGCGGAGGCGTGGAGGCGAGGAGCAGCGGAGGCTAAGGAGAATTCCCTGCCATTGAACTGCCGGTGAGCATCTTCTTTCCTGCCTTCGTTTATTGATCCTTTGGATGGATGGTTGTTGCTCTGTTCGCTTGGCATTGGCTTTGAATCAGTTCTTGGCCCTGGGTGCAATCGCTGGGTGCTCATAAGCTTTTCCTTCCTTCCTATTCCGCAGGAGATGCATCTTTGGGGACGGAGCAGCAGACGAGGAGGAGCAGGGGAGATGCATCAAAGGAGGAGGACCAGAGGAGAGCAGAGCTGCACTGGCCCCCACCGCTGCTGGCCTTATGGAGGGGGGAAGGCGCCAGTATTGACAGGAGCAAGGTGGAGCTGTTGCTGCCTGCGGCTGCTGCCTTGTGCTGTAGCTGCTGCTACCAAGTGGTGGGACGGCTACTGCTACCTCCCGCGCTCCTACCTCTCTCCCTTGTGCTGCTGCTGGGTCTACGAAACTGCTGCGTTGGAGGTGGAAAGGTGGTGCTGTGTTGGCAGCAGCAGCGGCAGCAGTGGGACCACGAGCAATACCAGAAAACTGCAGCAGCGACAGGTGCTACCTCCCTCGCTCCTACCTCCCTCCAGTGTGCTGCTGCTGCTGGTGTGATGTGATAGGATGAGAGGTGAAGTGGAGTGGAGCAGCAAAGGAGATGCAGCAGCAGAAGGGAAGGCCATTGGTGACACCAGCTGTGGCAGCAGCAGTGGGAGCAGCTGATGCTGCCTCACTCCCGTGTGCTACTGCAGAAGAGCAGAGGAGACGACTGGCAGCTGCTGGGAGCAGAAGAGAAGGCCAGGTGCTATCTCCCTCGCTCCTACCTCCCGCCCATGAGCTGCATCAGAGGTGGGGCAGATGAGATGCATCAGAGGAGGAGGAGCAGAGGAGATGCATCAGAGGAGGAGGAGCAGCGGAGATGCATCAGAGGAGGAGGAGGAGCAGAGGACAAGCATCATCAGAGGAGGAGCATAGTATCTGAGGAGGAGGGGCAGAGGAGATGCATCAGAAGGAGGAGCATAGGAGATGCATCAGAGGAGGTGGAGCAGAGGAGAGGAGATGCATCAGAGGAGGTGGAGCAGAGGAGATGCATTAGAGGAGGAGGAGCAGCTGAGGAGTGGAGGCTTGCGAAAGATCGAAGGAGCAAAGGAACAGAGGAGGCAAAGGAGAATCCCCTGCCACTGCTGGTGAGGATCTCCGTTCCTGCTCTCGATACATGGCCGTTGCATCATTCACTGCGCATTTGTTCTCCGTCCAACCTTGGCACTGGGTGCAATGGGTGCAATGGGTGCAATGGGTGCAATGAGCTCACAGACTTTCTCTTCCCATTCCACAGGATATGGAGCAAAGGAGATGCATCCGAGGAGAAGGAGATGAAGCAGAGGTGGAGCAGAGGAGGTGGAGAAGCAGAGGAGTTGGCTCAGCTGAGGAGCAGCAGAGGAGGGGACGAGGAGCAAAGGAGCGATGGAGCGAAGAAGCACAGTGGTGGTGCTGTTCAGATCCTCTTTCTCGATTTATCCGTTCTGTTCGTTCAGATGCATGGTTTCTGCCTGATTTGTTTTGCTCATAGTCCTAAAGTCCTTTCTTGTCATTTCGTGCAAACGCGGCTATGCGCTCATCAGCCCAGTGCGCTCATCAGCCCTGTGCCTGCCTCTTCCCATTTCCCAGCAGCCGACGGGTCGGAGCAGCAGAGGAGACGGCGAAGCAGAGGAGAGGAAGGAGAGGCAAAGGAGATGATGGAGAAGAGGAAGGAGATGGAGCGCTGAAGAGACATGGAGCAGAGGGCACGGAGGAGAAGGCAGGAGGGCGGAAGGCCAAAGGAGCAGAGGAGCAGAGAACCGCACAGCTGCGATTTCCCCCAAGGCTGCTGGCCGCACGGAGGGTAGAAGGTATGGAGGGGAGAAGGCACACAGGCACGGCTGTGAAATTGACACCAGCAAGCTGCGAGCTGTTACTGCCTCCCGCATGCTGCTGCTGGTGCTGTGAAGTGATGGGACGGCAGCTGCTACCTTCCTCGCTCCTACCTCCCTGCCGCGTGCTGCTGCTGGTGCTGTGAAGTGATGGTACAGCGAGCAGAAGAGAGGCCCACAGTGGGACCAGCGGTGGCAGCAGCAGTGGGAGCAGAAGAGAGGCCCGCAGTGACATTATTGGTTGCAGCAGCCGTGGCAGCAGAAGGGAATGCAAGCAGTGGTACCAGCGGTGGCAGCAGCAGTGGGAGCAGAAGAGAAGGCCACCCTTCCCGTGTGCTACTGCAGAGGAGCAGAGGAGCAGCAGTGGGAGAAAATGATGCTGCCTCCTTCCCATGTGCTGCTGCTGCTGGTGCTGTGAAGTGGTGGAGTGGTGCTGTGAAGTGGTGGAGTGGTGCTGCTGCTGCGTTGGGAGGTGGTGCTGTGCTGCTGCTGCTGCATTGGAGGTGGCACCCGCAGTGACACCAGCGGTGGGAGTAGGGGAGAGGCATGCGGTGACACTACCGGTGGCAGCAGCAGTGCGAGCAGAAAGGGAAGGCCAGCAGTGACACCAGCAGTGGCAGCAGCAGTGGAGGGGGAGTGGTGCTGCAGTGGAGGTGGAGTGGTGCTGCATTGAAGAGCAAAGAGCAAAGGAGCGCGGTGGTGGATAACTATTCACAGCCGATGGTGATTCTCTTTCTCACTGGAGTTGTTCTGTTTGTTTGTTTGTATGGATACCGTTGCCTTGGTTTTGCATTTGCTCCGCGTTCTTACTTGGCACTAGCTGCAGTCAGTGCCTTGCACTCATCTGCCCTGATTTCTTCTCCTCCCATTCCACAGAAGGACACAGAGGCGAGGGAGCAGCAGACGAGACGGATCAGCAGTGGAGATGCAGAGCAGACGGCTGCTACAGGCGAGCAGAGCAGACGGGTGGACTGCCATGAGCGGGCCAGCGAGCTGTACCTACCTTTACCTACCTTTTGCCGAGGAGCTGTGCAGGGGATGATGCAGCTGTGCAGGGGATGATGCAGCTGTGCAGGGGATGAACCAGATGGAGCAGCGAAGTGAAGGCGCCAGCATTGGCACGAGCAATATCGAGCTGTTGCTGCCTGCTGCTGCTGCCTTGTGCTACCTCCCTCGCTCCCGCCTCTCTCGCCTGTGCTGCTGCTGGTTCTACAATGTGATGGGACTGCAGGCGCTACCTCATTCGCTCCTACTCTATCCCCTGTGCTGCTGCTGGTGCTATGGAGTGATGGGACGGCAGCTGCTGCATGGGAGTGGGAGTGCCTGCAGTGGGGCAGCAGCTACAGGTGCTACAAAGTGATGGGATGGCAGCTGCTTCGGTGGAGGTGGAGAGGTGCTGCTGTGTTGGCAGCAGCAGCGGCAGTAGTGGGACTGTCAGCAATACCAGAAGACAGCAGCAGCAACAGGTGCTACCCCCCTCGCTCCTACCTCCCTCCAGTGCTGCTGCTGCTGGTACGAAGTGATAGGAGGAGAGGTGAAGGGGAGCGGAGGAGCAAAGGAGATGGCCAGCAGCAAAAGGAGAGGCAGCAGCAGAAGAGAAGGCCATTGGTGACAGCAGCTGTGGCAGAAGCAGTGGGAGCAGCAGCAGAGAAGGCCCTCAGTGACACCAGCGGTGGCAGCAGAAGGGTTTGGTAGAAGTTGCAGCAGCGGTGGCGGCAGCAGTTGGAGTCGAGACGACTGGCAGGTGCTGGGAGCAGAAGAGAGGGCCAGCTGCTATCTTCCTCGCTCCTACCTCCCGCTCATAAGCTGCTGCTGGTGCTGTGAAGTGAAGTGATTATGCAGATGAAGCAGACGCTGCAGATGGAGCAGAAATGAAGCAGAGATGAGGGGGGAGCAGATAGCGGGGAAGCAGAGTGTGAGGAAGGCAGAGAGAGGCAGAGTGTGGGGGGCAGCAGAGTGCGATGGAAGAGGAGGGAGGGAAGAGCTGAGTGCTTAGAACTGCAGCAGATTGCAGTGTGAGGGTCAGGGGATGGAGTGAGAGTTAGAGTGAGGCTGAGTGTGAGTCAGCTAGTGTTGAGAACTGCGGCAGGCTGCAGTGTGAGGGTGAGTTAGAGTGAGGGTGAGTGTGAGTTGAGTGTTGAGAACTGCGGCAGGCTGCAGTGTGAGGGTGAGTGAGAGTGAGAGTGAGAGTGCGGTGTGAGGACCTTGTGTGCTGGTTTGAGGCGCCTCAAATCCAGTTGTGAGCTGCCGGTGGCAGTTCTGTTGTGTCCTGCAGTGCACTGCAGTGTTCCGTTCCTCCTCTCTTCCCTTCTCTCAGTTTTGGGAGACATCTCAAAACTCACTAACCCTCTCTCTCTCTCTTCCTTACTAAACTTGTGAGTTTTGAGAGATGTCTCAAAACTCACGCCTTCCTCACTGCAGTTTAGCTGCAGTGAGCAAAATCAGGGTTTTGGGAGATGCCCAAAACTCTTTTGCATGTTCCTCACTGCAAATCTTCAGTATCCTTTTGTGTTCTGTCTCCCCCCCCAACAGGGTCACATAATAATTTCACCTGCCCCTGGGCAGTATCCAGTATCCTTTTGTGTTCTGTCTCCCCCCCCCCCACAGAGTCACATAATAATTTCACCTGCCCCTGGGCAGTATTCAGTATCCTTTTGTGTTCTGTCTTCCCCCCCCACAGGGTCACATACTAATTTTCACCTGCCACTGGGCAGTATCCAGTATCCTTTTGTGTTCTGTCTCCCCCCCACAGGGTCCCGAGCGATGGTTCCCACCTCACCGCGGTGCTTGGGTGTAACGTTGGGAGCTTGCTCCTGGCGGCCAAGAGGAACCCCCCATGCATAACTACACTACATGGGTAATACATTAGTACATTTAATTGATATTTATATTGGATCATCATTAGGAACTTTGAATGGATAATTACCATGAAAGTATTACTGCAGTAGGTGTTGCTTTAGTTCAGGTATATGTAGACAATTACCAGTGCTATGGACTAGTATGTTATATATTTTGTCAATTGATGCACCAGATGATGTGCATTTGCTGGTGTGGTGTGACAGACAGAACCTCTTGAACAGAACCAGAGACAGAACCATACAGACAGTATATAATGTTGGTAAGGAGCAACTCTGAAATTGATACGGTAGTGATCAATTTGCACTCTCTAGTTTTTCTGCAAGCCTATTGATTGTACTCCCCTGTTTCAAATGCGCCATTGTCGCTGCCAGACTTCCCTGCGATGGCTTTCTTAGTAGATTTGAGCAACGCGCTGCGGCAGTGTCGGCTACTTCTGATCATATCCTGGCACTCGTAGTAACGGATATTTGATAGGCACTCGGACCGGCGACTCGTCTAGCCTCAGCTTGTCTCGCCGTTTCAGTGCTCATGTCCTCTCCTCGCGGTGTGCGCGAGTGTACAGATTACGCGCATTAGTTAGAAGGTTACACGCTGACGAACGGGCGCTGGTCATTTCTTGTTACAAGAGTCGACGCGGAAGCGGCTCACGGGGCAACGACAGCGGGAACGGGCGCTGGTCATTTCTTGTTTTTATATTGCACTGGCCTTTCCACAAAACGCGACGCGTTTCAAACACGCCATAGTCAATTCAAGATTTCACGCCAGAGTCATTATCGGCGCGAACCTGATCGTGGTACTAGTAGCGGATATTATTAGGTACTTCTACTGATTCTGATAGCGAACTCATTTCGTTTTACAAGGTTTATTAGAGGCTGTCCGTCAACGCTCCGCCATGCCTTGTCGGGTGCTCATCTCCTCTCCTCTCCGCGCAGCGCAGCCGTAGTCACCGCTCCAATAACGGCACGGGCTGTCCTCGTTACAGGGATACACGCCGACGGATCGCTAAACGGATGAAGGGTCGCAGATTAGGCGAGAGTGTCGCACGGGCAAGAGAGTTGTACTGGCGATCGGCGAGCCGGTTCTGGATTGCGGGTGGTGGCGGACGCGGGGTCGCGGGGAAAAGTGGGCGAGTGACGTCTTTAAGACACCGCCGGCTTCCGCCAGGTAGAGTGGCGTACGAGCGAGAGTGTCACCCGCGCGAGCCGTGTCACGCGATGCTGCTGGGCTGCCTGGCTGGCTGTCCTGATTCCCATCGTTCTCTTACGCAGCACCCCATCGTCTTCCCCACATCCCTCGCACCTCCTCTGCCCAGGCGTCACGGTATGCGTTCATGGTGATGGGTCACCTTCCTATCGCCCTTCAAATGTTCGAACGTACCACTGGCACACGGAATGCTAAACATCAGAAGCACGTGTTTTAGGGTACCATGTGTACCATGTTACAATGTTTCCACGTTAGAAACACCACGCCTTCAGTTCCTCCCCTCCTTCCTCCTCCCCTCCCACTACTTTTGCAATATTCCCCATGCGTTTCCCCCCTCCCGTCTGTGCAAGTCTGTGGGCCCGTGGGTTGTTCCCATTGCACACATACTGCTAGAGAGAGAGGAAACGATTTTTTAAGGTTTCCTCCCTGCAGTCACAGAATTTGTCGCAAAAGCTACAAACGCTCATCTCCTCACCGCTTCCCTCTCCCCCAATCCCCCGTCCCCCCTCTTTCCCCCACATCTCCCCTGTTTTAATGCGTCGTCTCCATTCCTATGCGTCTCGGATGCGCATAAAGCTTCTGTCACCTCCCTGCCGCCCGTCACGCCCCGCTACCTCTCACGCCGCGCCATTGTTGTCATGCACCGCGTGCAACCCGCTGAGGAGTCGATGTGGCGAATTCTCGCTGCAAATGCAAATGCAAATGCAAATGCAAATGCTCTCACAACACTTGGTTGATCCGGCTGGTCCCGCTGCTCACTCAAGAGCAAGCCGCGCCAGGGCTGCTCGCCTTTCACACTCTCGGCCGAACGCTCACTGGTGCGTGCATGCTGTGAATTAGAATCAGAATGAGTACGTGTGAATGTGATTCGCTCGCACACGTATCGCGTTCCTGGTTCTGTTTGGTTAGGACCTCACTCTTTTGCTGTGTGGCAGGTATACATTCACTGGCACTTTCTGCTCCTTCAACTCTCTCTCCCGCGTCTTCCATTCTCTCGCTCATCTCCGTCCCACAGCCCCTCCCTCTCCCATCGGGCCCGTTCGTCTTGCTCATACTGATTTCGTCCCGTTGTCCCTTTTCCTATAGGGTGTGGCGAAGCGTGGGTGCTCGGTGCGAGTGGGGCGGGACACAGAGGCCCAGAAGGAGAAGGCCTGCCAGCAACATGGGCCGCCGTGGTGGGGCTTGTTTCCATCCTCGGCCTCCCCATGGCTGCTGACATGCAAACCACGACGCTCATCCCTCCAAGTGCCTTACCCACCGCACGCACATCATGTGCTTGCGGCATTGATCTAATATCATGTGAAGCATGAAAGGTGACTAGGTGCCGCTTGCTTCGCTTCACAATGTTTCTTGTTGGATCGTTTCATACCGGTAGTTGTGCAAATTGTTTGAATTATTGCCGATCATGTGGTTGTGGCTGTTGTGTGCAGTGCGGATGTTTGTGTCCGCTTACGGCTGACGGTGCAGGTACGGGAGGAGGAAAGGAGTAAATGGAGGAGGAAAGGAGTAAATGGAGGAGGAAAGGAGTAAAGGGAGGAGGAAAGGAGTAAATGGAGGAGGAAAGGAGTAAAGGGAGGAGGAAAGGAGTAAAGGGAGGAGGAAAGGAGTGAAGGGAGGAGGAAAGGAGTAAAGGGAGGAGGAAAGGAGTAAAGGGAGGAGGAAAGGAGTGAAGGGAGGAGGAAAGGAGTGAAGGGAGGAGGAAAGGAGTAAAGGGAGGAGGGAAGGAGTAAAGGGAGGAGGAAAGGAGTAAAGGGAGGAGGGAAGGAGTAAAGGGAGGAGGAAAGGAGTAAAGGGAGGAGGAAAGGAGTGAAGGGAGGAGGAAAGGAGTGAAGGGAGGAGGAAAGGAGTAAAGGGAGGAGGGAAGGAGTAAAGGGAGGAGGAAAGGAGTAAAGGGAGGAGGGAAGGAGTAAAGGGAGGAGGAAAGGAGTGAAGGGAGGAGGAAAGGAGTGAAGGGAGGAGGAAAGGAGTGAAGGGAGGAGGAAAGGAGTGAAGGGAGGAGGAAAGGAGTGAAGGGCGTGCTCATCAAACATTTATTAGACGTTGTTTCAGGGCACCAAAGATTTTACCCTGCCACAGACAGACTAAATGATTATCTACCCTGAATTTGTTCGGGTATTTTGTTTTTTACCCTAGCAGTCAGGGTTGCTGCGATCAGAAGTTGATCGTAACCAGGATCTCCTCAGGAAGGTTCGCACACTTCTAATCTAGTGGTGGTGGGCCCTTGACCTCAATAGCAGAGTGAATGTAAATGCTTGAGACAATAAAAACATGCAGTACAAGGAATATAAATAAGAGTACAGGGGAATGCGAAACGACCTAGCTAGCCATGTACTCTAAGGGGTACATTCCCTTATTACAGCGAAATCCAACCGTGCGACTCCGGGTGGTTACGGAACTGTTCGGGCAGAATCCTCGCCACTGCTGCTGCCTGATGCTGTCTGCCCGACGGTCCAGATGCTCCTCGTAACCGTCTGTCCCTTCGCATTACTTCTGCCCTTTCGTCTTTACTCTCGATACTGCGTGCTTCGGCTTCGCTACGGTGAGAAGTGATCAATATGTCAAATGTTGAACATTGATATGATAGGCTATAATGAGTTGCACTCTAGGGGGTACAGCTTCTAGGGTTGCTCATTTGTACCCCATTCGTTTCTATTCCAATCATTCCGTTGTTCGCTAACTCCGCGTGTCTCGCGGCCCGAGGCTTCACCGACCAGTCTCTGGACTGGATCCCCTGGTGTTGGGTCGGCCTTTCGAGTCTGGGGCTGCCTTGCACTTGTTCGCGACACCTCCGCGGACAAGCTCTCGGCACGCGCCGTCCCCTGTGTCTTCCTTGGTTTCCCAGTGGACTCTGCTGACTGGTCCTTTTACCACCCTCCCCTCCACCAGTTCCTAGATTCCCGTGACGTCCGGTTTGACGAGTCCTTGTCCTACTACACCCGGTACCCCTGTCGAGGTCTCCCGGTACCCCCTCCCCCTCTCTTCCTCGCACCCTCTCCTCCTCCTGCTCCCGCTCCTCCGGTACCCCCGCCCCCCCCTGGTCCTGCCCCGTCTGGTGTGTCCCACGCTACCCCTCTCCCCTCGGTCGTGCGTCAGGTAGCGTCTCCCTCCCCGCAGTCCTCCTCACAGTCCCCTCAGCAGCCTTCGGCACTTCCGCGACAGGTTACTGTGGACTCGGTTGGTGTTGGAGCTGGAGGTGCAGCCGCTGGCGGTGCTCGGTCGCGGGGTACTGGAGCTGGAGGTGCTGGCGCAGGTGACGCTAGCTCTGGGGGTGCTGGAGCTGGAGGTGCTGGCGCAGGTGGCGCTAGCTCTGGGGGTGCTGGAGCTGGAGGTGCCGGCACTGGAGGTGCTGGTTCTGGGGGTGCTGGAGTTGGGGGTGCTGGCACTAGCGGTGCTAGTTCTGGGGGTGCTGGAGTTGGAGGTCCTAGCACTGGCGGTACTGGTTCTGGGGGTGCTGAGTCTGAGGAGACTGACGCTGGAGACCCTGGTTCTGCGGAGTCCACCCCGCCCCCCCACCGCCACGACACGCGTCTCCAGGCTGCCCGTCGGCGTGAGCGTGAGGAGCAGGAGCGGTTGGAGAGGGAGCGGCAGGAGCTGCGGGTGCTGGACCTTCTGGAGCAGCAGCGGCAGCAGCAGCAGCAGCAGCAGCAGCAGCAGCAGCAGCAGCAGCAGCAGCAGCAGCCGCAGCCGCAGCCGCAGCAGCAGCAGCAGCCGCAGCCGTAGCCGCAGCGGCCGCAGCCGCCACCGCAGCTTCCTCTAGAGCGGCGGTTGTTCCCAACTGTGAGTGGCTTGCGGGCCCTTGGCCTTTCCTCCTCTCCTCCTGTCCGCTCCCAGTCTCCTCCTGTGTTTGTTCCTCCGTTGCCTCCTCCTGACGACCGTCCGGCGGTCTGGTCTTCTCCTCCTCCTCAGTCTCCTCCTCCCTCTGTCCGTCGCGACTTGATCACTCGTTGTCCTCCGCGTGCTCGTCACTCGTCCCCTGTTACTGACCTCCACACTGCCCTCCTTTGTTCGTCTCGTCGTCGTTCTCCTTCTCCTGTGTCCGTTCTCCCGTCTCCTCCTCCGTCCTCTCTACCTGCCCTCCCCACTCCTATCTCTGACTACTACCGCGCTGTTCGTCCTGTTGCCGCACGTGTCCTCACCACTCTTGTCACCGACCCTCGTTTCCCTCCGTCGTCTGTCTCGGCTCTCACTGCCGCTGTCGCTGAGTTTGCTGCCGCCAGCCGCCTTGACTACGCCACCCGTGTGGTGCCAGCTCCTCCCTACCGTCCTCTGTCCGTCGGGGGTGGGTTTGCCCTTGGCTGTGACGTCCTAGAGGACAGAGAGTCTGAGCTGGAGTACTGGGCAGCCGCTTCTCCCTCTGTGTGTGCCATGCTGCTCTCCCCTGAGGGAGACCCCGACGCCCTTGACATACCGACTCCTCGCACTTACCGCGAGGCAGTGTCAGGGGCGTGGGCCTCTCAGTGGAAAGCGGCTATGGACTCAGAGTTGGCGTCTTGGAGATCCACAGGCACCTACGTCGACGCAGTTCCCCCTCCCAGGGCGAACGTAGTCGATGGCATGTGGCTCTTCAAGGTGAAGCGGCCGCCTGGAGCACCGCCGGTGTTCAAGGCGCGCTACGTGGCTAGGGGTTTCAGTCAGCGTGAGGGAGTTGACTTCTTCCAGACCTTCGCCCCGACCCCGAAGATGACTACTCTTCGGGTGTTACTCCACATAGCAGCGCAGCGAGACTACGAGCTGCACTCCCTCGACTTCTCCACTGCGTTCCTCCAGGGCCGACTGCACGAGGAGATCTGGCTGCGCCGTCCTCCTGGCTTCACTGACACCTTCCCACCTGGGACCCAGTGGAGCCTGAGGCGACCAGTCTACGGTCTCCGCCAGTCGCCCCGTAAGTGGCACGACACTCTTCGCTCCACGCGACCTTGGGTTCAGCCCGTCCTCCGCCGACCCGTCGCTGTTTGTTCGAGCGGGTTCTACTCCTTTCTTTATCCTTGTCTACGTCGACGACTTGGTGTTTGCTACAGCAGACAGGGCAGCCCTGGCTCAGGTGAAGTCCGAACTGCAGAAGAGACACAAGTGCACTGACCTGGGTGAGCTGCAGCGCTACCTTGGCCTGCAGATCACCCGGGACAGAGCCGCTCGCACCATCACACTGACGCAGTCACACATGGTGCAGCAGGTCCTTCGGCGGTTCCACTTCCAGTTCTCCACCACACAGCCCACTCCTCTTGCTGTTGACCACAGACTTACGGGCCCCTTTCCTGACGAGCCCTTTGAGTCCAGTGGACCCTACGCAGAGCTGGTGGGCTGCCTCATGTACCTGATGACTTGTACTCGACCGGACCTCGCCTTTCCACTCAGCATCCTTTCTCGCTTTGTTGCGACTGGGAGACACCGCCCTGTCCACTGGACAGCTGCTGTGAGGGTGGCGAAGTACCTGGCGACTACATCAGGCTTGGGGCTTGTGCTTGGAGGGACTCAGCCAGTGGCGTTGACTGGTCACTGCGACTCTTCCTACGCTGACGACGTGGAGACTCAGCGTTCGACTCAGGGTTACTGCTTCAGTCTGGGAGCTGGTGCTGTGTCGTGGAGGTCTACACGGTCGTCGTCTGTGGCTACTTCCAGTGCAGAGGCAGAGATCTACGCTGGTGCCATGGCGGCACAGGAGCTTCGCTGGTTGACCTTCTTGCTCGCTGACCTTGGTGAGCGGTCTCGCTCTGCACCGACCTTGTACGCTGACAACAAGGCCATGATCCTCCTGTGTCGAGAGCCTCGACTGGAGAGCAGAGTGAAGCATATTGACGTGAGGTACTTCCTCCTGCGAGAGCTGCAGCGACGCGGTCAGGCACGCCTGGACTTTGTGGCCTCAGAGGCCAACACTGCAGACCTCTTCACCAAGGCCTTGGCGCTTGGTGACCACCACAGGTTCTGTGTGCAGTTGGGGCTTGTTGAGGTAGGCCCTCGGTTGGTGTAGTCCTGTTGCTTGCTCTGCTTGTTGTGCTTTGTATTTATATCCTAGTGAACTCTTGAACTGGCCTTGTGGCCGCTTGCTTGCGCTCGGAATTTGTGTGGTGTCCTTGAGATCCACCCTGAGCTTGCCTTGGTTCTTGGTTTGACTGGTTTTGTGACCGTTTGTTCACCTTGCTTGCTTTGATGCCCCTCACTTAGCCTATGGGGGTGTGTCAAATGTTGAACATTGATATGATAGGCTATAATGAGTTGCACTCTAGGGGGTACAGCTTCTAGGGTTGCTCATTTGTACCCCATTCGTTTCTATTCCAATCATTCCGTTGTTCGCTAACTTTGAGACAATAGTGTTTTCACTAACCACTATTCGTAACACCCCCCTTCACTCCTGACCGTAGCGAGCATTGACCCGCTTGACTACCCCGCTGAGTTCGGAGCAGTGCTGGTACTGCTGACGCGGCAGTTTCTTCGTGAGGAAGTCTGCTGCCATGTCACCCGTTGGGCAGTATGTCAGATCAACCTTGCCTTTGTCAACTTCGTCCTTGACGAAGAAGTATCGCAGTGCGATGTGCTTGGTGCGGTTGACGAAGCCAGGTTTGTTCGCGATCCTGATCGCGCTCTGGTTGTCGCAGTGCAGGCGAAAGTTCGTTGAGGCCGGAACTTTCGCTTCTTGCAACAGCTCCTGAAGGTAGAGACCTTCGCGAACGGCTGCTGTTGCTGCGATGAATTCGGCTTCCGCCGATGACAGGGCAACCAACTCCTGCTTCTGAGAGTTCCAGGAGATGGGGCCGCTGGGCTCGAGGCGGAAGAGGAATCCTGTCCTGGACCGTCGATTGTCAGGATCAGCGGCGTGATCAGCATCCACGTAGCCGACGAGACTGAAGGATGCGGTTGGGATGGTGGAGTAGCTGAGCCCGACATTGGGCGTGGAGATAAAGAATTGAAGGGCTCGCTGAAGATCCGAGAGGTTCTCAGCCGTTGGTTTGCGTGAGTACTGAGCCAACTGGCTTGCGATGTAGGAGAGGTCGGGCCTGCAGGTGACTGATGCGAAGAGCAGGCACCCCAACTG